AATAGTTTGTACCCAGCAGTGGAATCTACAAGTTGGTCTATCATTAGAGGGGAAAATCTATCATTTAGGCTAGCTTGGTTAAGGTTGGAGAAGTCTATGCACACCCTCCATTTGCCGTTGTGTTTCTTTACCAAGACTGGATTTGCGACCCATTTCAGGTACATGACCTCCTTGATGAAATCCTTCCTTTCAGCTTTTGCACTTCATCCTTAAGGGCCTCATATCTTTCTGGGTTGAGGGCCCTTCTCTTTTATCTATGCGGGGCAACATTAGGATCAATTTTTAGGTAATGACAACCGACCTTTGGGTCAATGCTTACCATGTCCTCATGCCTCAATTCCTACATAAAAAAAATCCTTTAGTGTCTCTTTGATATCCGAGGATAGATATTTTCCCACCCACAATGCCTTACTGGGATCTTGAGGATCCATCGAGAAGCTTTCTAGCTCTTCCACCGATGTCGCTTGGGATTCAGATTCAATAATATGAGGGTCCAATTCGTCATTTTCAATCACATATTCAAGGACATCTGCCATTTCGACGTCTTCTTGACTGGAATTTTGGTCTCCTGCGACGTCCACAATATCAACGTCCAATACCACCATGTTAACATCCCTAGGCACAGCCTTTATTATCAAAACCTATCTGAGGTGTCTCTTCCATTTTCACAGCAAAGGTTATTCTCCCCCTCGGGACGATGCTACCATTATCAACTAGCGTCCATTTTAACCCTTACCACAAGGGCATCACAATGAGGAAAATGCGTACCTTCGACGTTTTCTTGAGTGAAGGCAATAGGAGGCATCTGCCTTTGAGAACTATCCATTACTATGTAGCTAGTCATTGGATGGTCTTTGGCCTCCCTAGCATAATTCCTTTGGGAGTTTCTTGTATTGCCCCCAACGTAAGGCCCTCCAAAAGTTATATCGATTTCATAGATTGGAGTATCTTCTAAGTAGGCTGGGGGTTCCTATATTGTTGCTGCGCCTTTCTAGACCTTTCTCTGTCACGTTCACCCCGCTATGGAGATAGCTCTTGACGGGATGATCTTGCCTCTCATGCCTAGGCCTTCGATCCTGTCTTGGTGGGAGCATTTCCCTAGGAAGGCAGTCATCTCTCTGGTTGTTTCGTGTGCTTACATGTGTAGGATGTTAAGCTATATCCATACAGTCTATTATGTTATGACTGTTGGAATGATGATAAGTGCAATATTAAGGGGTGTTCGGCCTATTCTTAGGCTTTGAACCCCGTCCTCGGCCTCTTCCTCTTTGGGAGGCTCGTAGTCCTGATCCAGTTTGTCTTATGTTGGCTTAAGGGGTTTGGGATTCTCTTATATTGGCTTCAGGGGTTTGAGGTTATGATTAACTTTGTCCACATGCATTCTTTGAGGTATGCACCTCCTCTACCAATAATTCTCTCGAAATAAACGGCTCTCTTATCTTGTGAACTCTCACATCAATGTGCTTGATCCTTGCATGATAAATCTATTTCTTTGCTAAGAAGATGACGCTCTGACTATCACAACACAACTTTATTCCATCTTGCTTGATCTCCATGTCAAGAATATTCTTAGTCGGTCCCAAATCTATTTCTAGTCTTCCTATCTCTATTGATCTCCATGTCAAGAATATTCTTAGTCGGTCCCAAATCTTTCATGTCAAACTTATTGCTCAACAAAGATTTCAATATGTCAACCTCATTCATGTTCTTAGTAGCAATTAACACGTCATCCACATACAACATCATGAAAATATATGAATCATCCTCAAGAACTCTATAGTAAATACAACAATCATACTCACAACGACTGTAGCCAATTTGAATCATGTGGGAGTCGAACTTCTTGTACCATTGCCATGGAGACTGCTTAAACCCGTATAAAGACTTCTTCAGTTTACATACAAGATTCTTTGTTCCTGGTTCCAAGAACCTTTCTGGCTGCTTCATGAAAATCTGCTCCTTCAAATCACCGTAAAGGAAAACGATCTTTACATCCTGCTGCTCTAACTCCAAATCAAAATTGGCCACCATTGTCAAGGCAATCTTGATGAAAGTGTGTCTGAAGACTGGAAAGACAATCTCATCATAATCTACTTCCTTCATCTGTGAGTATCCCTTAGCTACTAACCGAGCCTTGTATTTTTTCCCTTCCTTTTTCTAACATTGCTTCTTTCTTTCTTTCTGTCTGTACACAGACTTGCATCCTATCCGTTTCTTCCCATTTGGAAGCTCCACCATATCCCATGTATCATTTATCTACAATGACTCAATTTCCTCAATCATTGCATCTATCTATTTAATTTTCTCCTCACTACCAACGACATCCTGAAAAGTTTTGGACTCGATTTTTTGGCATCCACTTCATCAACAACTCTACTAAGAGGGTTTGGACGTCCCCTACATGTTCCCTATCATTTATACAATTTTATAATGTGAGAATAGTGTGAGAAAAATAATTACTAACTTCTAGGATCAATTGTATATTTCTTCATTATTGAGTCAATAAAATCTCCTAATTCATTTGCCATATTTTCTTGTTTTCTTTTATTATTTTGCTTGTGATCAAATACTTCATTATTGTGTCATATAATTTCAACATCTCAATCTGATGGTTGGTTTCATATCGAGCGGCATCGAGCCATACGTGATCCTTGAATTCCCGACAATTGGGATTCTGGGCATAATTAACACAATGAGTGGTATTAGAGTTATTCTAGTATCTTGTTTGTTTCACAACAGATTGCTTGCAAATATAATAATGTGTGTTCTAGATGGTTTTTCTTGTTTTTATCACTCTCCATGTCCTTTCTTGTTGGATAAATGACGGTGATGGTGGTGGAAATCGGTGGAAGTGGTGGCGGTCGGGAAAAGTGTGGTGGAAGTGGTGGTGGGTGGTGCATAGATTTATAAATTATAATTCAAAATGTGTTAATTGGAGTGTATGCTGGTGGCGATGGACGGTAACATCGATGGCAGTGACAGTGGTTCATTTGTGGTGGTAACATCAATGGTGGTGGGTGGTGGTACATGAGTTAACAAGTTATAACACAAAAAATAAAAATAAAAATAAAAAAATTACGCACTGTAATAATGGTGTAGGGAATTTTCTCGTGTTGAAGGGTAATAATTGTTGGTGGTGATGATGAGATGGTGTTATAATAATTTTAAGTTACAATTAAAAAAAAAAAAAAACATTGTAACAAATTGTATAGTAAAAAAAATACAAAAAAGTAAGATACAAAAAGTTACATACATTGTAACAAAAAAATTATAGAAAAAAAATACATTTCAATAAAAATTAGTAAATTTGAAGCACGCCTAATTTTTGAAAAACTTTTTCATTAATATGATTTTGAAAATTGGATTGAATCAATCAAGGTAAGGATTGAATCCAACTATATGTTTTAACTTATAATAATGGAAATGTAATAAAATTGATAATAGCGTGTTCAAAAAGCATTTATAAATTATCTAAATTATATATAGATAGAAATAGTAGTAAGTAAATAGTTAATACTTATGAATATTTTGAAATATATAGATAAAAAGTAATTTGAATGTACATAAATAATTTAGAAACATGAGCCGCACATATATGCAAGCTGAAAATTGGCAATCACACCCTTTCTTTGTGTGGGAGTGACTTGATGACGCGATGGGGGAGGGACAGAGAGAAAGAGATTTAAGTTTTTATTTTTCTTAAGCCAAATAAATCGTTCTCATCAGATAATGTCGCTAACTCAACCGTGTTATAAATGACGAGACATTAGACAAACTTAACTATCATTTTGGACGCTAAGAGGCTAGACGAATCTTTGAGGTCACAATTAGAAGCAGTGGGCTCCTGCAATAGGAAAACTCAAAAGAATAATGATCTCCTTCCCTTTTTTTCCCCCTACATTAGGAGTTTTCCCTATAAAAGTTTTAACTAAACATATTTTTTGTATAATGAATATTCATAATCTACAAGGCATTTGCTCTCAAAATAATACTCTTATATGTTACAAAAATTTATCGAGACTCCTAAAGAGAATAATAAGAAAATTATTTCTTATCAAATCATAATGTTACTACATATTATTAGAAGATGATCTAGCTTAAATGCTATACCAAGACAACACGAAACATATTTAATCAGAATTGTGATATTAAAAAATATTGATATACAAGACATGAATGACTTGATATAAGAATTTTTATTTATTTAAATCAGGGGAGTAATTGTATTCTTTTTCCTTCACTCATTTTTCATTTAATTTGTTTTCTTGTCAAGGTTTTAATGAGACCATATCCTTGTTCCTTCACTTGATATTTTTATCCTACTAAGTTTTTGTCAAACTAAATTTTTAACGAATCAATTATTGTGCAAATAGTGTTCAAAGGGGGAGTGTTATAAATTTATTAGATAATTATAAATGGCTATTTAGTCTTATCAATATACTTAATAAATTTTACTTACTCTAAAGAATTGTATTATATTCATATTGTGACTCCTACCAAAACCCTATATGTAGGCATTATTGTTATAATAAATATATACATGAAATTTGCGCTCTCTACTTTTCTCTCTTATTCCGCCTTCTTATTCTGGTGTTTCTTTATAATTTCATAATACTTTTTAATTTATAAATAAGAAAGAGATGATTTTTCGAAATATGTTTCAAGGACGACTATGACTTCCCCTACTATATCTTAAACCCTATTTCATAAAATCTTAAATGATGTAATTATACAACATCGTCAAAGTACAATATAACAAACAATTATAAAACATTATAACATTTAAATTATTATCGTATTATTACCTTATTTCACACTTTTTATTATTACTTGAAGCATTGTTCTCACTGGATGCAATATTAGCTCCATAATTCAGTACAGCGTATGGATATTATTATTAGTTTAGTCATAGCTACAGGACGTAACTCCCGACTCTATTATTCTGTACAATATTTATATCTGATACGGATCCAAGGATGCAAATTTGTGAATGTCAGTGTTCAAAATCTGGAGAAGTAGAGGATAATATCTCGATTGTTACGTGCTTGCAATGGCCTGGCATTTTCTTCAGCATACTGTAAAAATTGAAATTAATCAAGACAATTACAAAGAAAATTGGTTTGACTAATGATGTTTTTAGCCCAATTAAGTGACAATATTAAATAACTTACGAAGAGGACTGCTTCTCTGAGCAAATTAATTTGACTTCTTGAAACAGTCTTCACCTAAAAGCAGTTCAGATATATGAATAATTAGGAACACGTATTAATTAAGGAATTAATTACTAATTATGGAATTTATTCAGCCTTTCATTAAGGCCATACCTTAGTATTAACAGTCCAAATAACTCCTTCAGTACAAGGAGGTGTAGCAAGTGATCCCATGTATCTATAATAACTTGGACTTTCTGATTGAATATCATTTGGATTAATTACTCCCAAATTTACCTCTGCACCCTTCTTATCGATCACTGATGATATACTTGCATTTAACTGCAAAGGAATAACAAAAGGTGAAATCAATTCAATTAATGACTGTATTTAGATTTACCAGATTACTTGTATGAAAAAAAAAGAGTTAAATTGGTAATATGGGCTGTTAGTTATGATCTCTTTGAGCTATATACGAGACCCTTTTCATTAAATGAACACCTTTAAAGAGCATTACACACAATCGAACGTCGTCACCTTTTTCCACTTTATTTGATATATACGTATTAAGCCAAGTACACTGTTTGGTAAAATACGTTTTGACGACAAAAAAGAAACAATATTGAGTTTACTGGTAGCAGTCTTGAGAAATTTGTGCTATGTAGAATTATCTTGAATTTTATCAAGTTTTTTCGAAATATTTACCATGGAGAGAAATGGATCAGGACGTCCAATCTGGTACAAGACACCAACAACAGCAGTCCTGTTTTGCACATTAACGTCTGGGCTTTGGTGTACCACGTGCAGTTCCATGTCATACCTAATAAAGAGATTTGTTATATTTTAAGCATGCAATACTCCAAGCTGGAAAAAGAAAAAGAAAAGAACAAAACAAAAAATAGAAGCATATGAGGTGCACGCAAATACCTTATACCATTAATAGTGTGCTGAGCAGGAGTGTGCCAATGGACTTCTCGAAGACGGTACTCCGTGCCATTAATAAATCTTGATCCTGCATCACCTTTCCATTGAACCAGCATGTAGAAGGATTGCGAGAGTTACATATTGAACTACGTTATATAAACATATCTTTGACACACTTGTTTATATCTATTGTTGATGGTAAAAATCGAATCAACAATCCTCTAACCTAAATATGATTTTCTCCTCCTAAACTCTCTAGTTTCGATGTTAAAACTTGGATCAAGAGAGAAAATGACTATTTGAGAGGGAAATATTTGAATTGCATAGTTTTTTCTTCGAAGGAGGGAATATTTATAAATTTCACTTCAAGATTTGGGGGTATTCTAGTCATTTACGTGAAAAATGGCGGCTTCTTAGTGGATAGCTCATAGCCGATTATGTTAAAGAGTATCATGTTTGTTTTACTTATCCACGTGTATTTTTTATTAACAGTTTGTAGCTAGCCTCAATAGGGGAAGGGTTTGCTAGCCTTATGCGAACCTTCCTTGCTTGCATTTCCCTCGCGTGTTGCTCTATGCTTCACATGTAGTGGGATAGGTTTTCGGATCATATTGCGAGGATCAATATCTACATTTATATGTTATTCATTAGATGCGTTGAACATAATCCATCCAACTAATTTTATCCCCCTGATATTATATTTATTTGAATACACACGAACAGACATGGAGATTATTCCGATTATAGTTTTAAAACTGTACATTCTAAACCTAGTTAAATTTGAATTTGTTTAGTGAATCAATTCAATCAAGAAAGATATTTATTTTACATGGTAGACATGCAATTGGTGGGTATCTTCTTCTCTTACAAGAACGATGCTGACCGCTTCTTTAGAGATGGCCAAATAGAGCAGCAAAGCTTCTAATGATTTGGGTTTTGAGAGGAGGGAGCTTATCCCAGAACCTTTTTCAGCCCTTGGAAGACCTCACCATACTCCTTTATCCATTGGAAGTTCTTGCCCTATTTCAAGACTTTAAAGAATGGGAGGCAATTGTCGATGGCCCTGCAGACGAAACGGCTTAGAGCTGCCACCCGCCCAATCAAGCTTTATACTTCCTTTGGCTTTGTGGGAGACCTCATCTCTATTAGGGCCCGAATTTTCATTAAATTTGCCTCTATGCCCCTTTGATTAACCATGTATCCTAGGAATTTACCAGAAGCAACTCCGCACACATTTGAGGGTAATTAACCTCATTTTGTACCTTCGTAGGATTTTGAAAGTTTCATCTAGGTGCTTTATATGGTCATTCGCCTTTGAGCTTTTCATGAGCATACCATCTATGTAAACTTCCATGGATTTGCCATTGAGGTTGGCGAACATTTTGTTAACAAGTCTCTATTAATTTTGCACTATTTACTAATATCCCTACTCCTAATAGACTAAACCAAACATTTTTATCCAGACTAAATTTAATCAGTGATAATTAGGTACGCTATGACATTTTAATAAAACAAGATTTTAATGTTCTTTGGAATAGTACAAAAATGATCAATTTTGCACTATTTATTTCCATCTAGCATTGTATATATTAGAAAGTATATTGTGCCTAACTCAACTTAACAAAATCGGCTTGTTAGGGGAGGATTGTTCTCGCCTTATTAAGAGGATTGTGTAAATATCACCAGCCAATGTAGGACTCTAATACGCCCCATCACGCACAGCATGGACCATGCCAAACAACTGTGAACAAATTGATTTTGGGTGCACCCAACATTGCAAAATTGAGACTGCTTTGATATCATATTAGAAAGGATATTGGATCTAACTCAACCTAACAAAACCGACTTGTTAGGGGAGAATTACCTTCATCTTATTAAGTGGGTCGTGTAAATATCACTAGTCAATGTGAGACTCTAATAGTATATATGTAATTTTCCCCATTTAATAGCCTAGCTAGGTTTAATATTCCTTATTTGGTTTTGACATTTTAGGGGATAATTATATTTAAACTACAGTTTTTGTTAACGGCCCAATGTTTTAATAGCAATAATAGTCTCCAACACTTTGGATTATTTTTTCAATTATGCTTCCAACTTTTTTCATTGTATTATTATCTATAACATTAAATTAAATTGCACATCTTGTCTCTAATGATTAATTTTTTTTCTATATATTCATTTAGTGTGCTTGGAAATGAGAGGTAAATTTTTTTGGGTTCTTCTTATTTAAAAATATGAAGGACAAATAAGTCCTTCTACACCTTCCTAATGATTTTTTTTTTTTTTAAACCATCATATGCACTAATTTATAAAAAAGTTGAGAATAATATGCGACCAAAAATATTGGGGATATAAGTACGAGAATGAGTAAAGATGTGAGATCTTCATTGTAATTGAAAGATGCATTTAACAAAGTATAATGTGAATAAAATTATCCATTTTAAAGTCCAAAAACTCATTTTTCAAAAGAATATAGGTGTTCAAAACAATCAAAGAAATAGTTCAACGTAATTAACGTTTTTTATGATGTATTAGAAAGAGTTCTGTCACATATGGAAAATGTGATATTACAAAAGATATGGTTAAATATTCAGAAGATAAGTACTCTTTTAAATAATATTTCTTACGATATCAAGTTGTTTCGAAATATATTTTTGAAAATAGAAATATAGTTTTACAAATAAAAACTCGTGGGATAAAACTGAAAAAGAAATTTCTCATTTTTAAGACTTGATTCTGATTTTGTCTTCAGATCAGAGTTTATTTTTCTTTGATTTAAATATTTGGTGATCTATCCTTATCTTCATTCCTCACTGTCTCTGAAGTGTTATGAATGAAATTCAGCTATTCATGTTAAAATCAAACAATTTGCTAAATAGAGTGTTGTGGGAGTGATTTTTGAAACTTATTTTCAATCGCACATTCGTTAATGGTACCATGAATTGATGCTGGTTTTAGGAAATTTGAAGTTGTACGGATATCTTGGAATCACACCGAACAAAAGAAACGTTTGTATTGGTGCTTAGGAATGAATCTTTCGATTAAAAAACGATCACTTTATTATTATGATGATTTTTATAATTTTTAAATGTATACAATGCAATATTTTTTTGGTTTCCATTCAAGGCCCTGACATAGTGTATGTGCCGGGGCTTATTAAAAATAGGTTTTGAAATTTTTTTTTTTTTTAAATAATGATTTTTTGAAAAATGTGTAGTAAAAAAAAAGTTTTATATTTATGTCTAATATTATTTTATTGAAAAATGTGTGGTTAAAAATAAGAAAGATAAAAATACATTTTTTTCTAAAATTGAGCCCAAAATATGTGATTTTCCAAAATCTTTCGTAGCTAGGTTTAATATCACTACTTTTGTTTGATAGTTTAAGAGGAAATATTTAGACCATAATTTTTGTTAACTGCACCTTATTTAATTTATTGCAATAATAGTCTTCAACTTTTTATTAATTTCGTAATTATGCTTACAACATTTTCCATTGCATTATTATCTTTAATATTAAATATCTTGTCTATAACAATGATTTTTGTCCATATATTTTATTAGTGTGCTTTGAAATGAGGGATACTATTTTATTAATTTTTCGTTAAAAACATGAAGGAAAAATAAGAGTTTCTAAACCTTCCTAATGAACTTTTTGTGAAAGGAACCTATCATTAGAGACGAGTTGTACTAATTCATAAAAAGTTGAAGACAAGAAAACAACTAAAAATATTGGGGATACAAGTACGTGAATGAGCAAAGATCTGAGACCTTCATTGCGATTAAAAATGATGCCATTAATAAAAGTGTGGTGTGAATATAATTTCCCATTTGAAAGTCCAAACACTCATTTTTCTTAAAATATAGGTGTTCAACGCAATCAAAAAATAATTGAAGTTTTTACGATGTATTAGAGAAGTTCAAAATTTGAGCTTCCTTAAAAAATGTCAATGGTCAACTAACATGCCCAGCTAAATGTAATAATTTTTATTTACAATCTTATACTTAGTATTTTAATAAAAAGTCAAATAGATCTCAATTAAAACTTACTGATCAATATATCCCAAAACAAAAACTTTTTCACTCCCTAACTCTATACAATTGTGATTTGCTTAAAAAATTGTGCTACATAAGAACCGTTGTTTAAAAAATTTCATTTTCAATGCAACTTAGAAGGGACTTTGTGTAGCTTACATGGTGAAAAAATAGACAATGCANCCCTTTTTATGCTTTTGTTCATTCTATATATTTGTGAGTTCCAATCCACCTATGAATTAATGTACCATTTCATTGGTGCTTAGGATAAGATGAGCACCGGTGCTCATTAGATCATTTCTGTATATATATATATATGATAGTGTTACATGCTCAATGGTAACCGTTAGATGATAGGACACGTTTCTTCATCTCCTTTACTGAAAATCACATCTTATGTATCAATTTTGACTCACGAGCCTGGGGCGCATTAAATGCCCCAAAAAGGAGGCGGTTACCCCATACCCTATGCTGACAAGATTGATCTTTTTATAAACGGATTTCATAAATATAAGATCTTCAAACAGGGGTGTTCACCAATCGTAGTTGAGCCTCAGATTTTCTTTCATTGGGCATCGTCACTTCGGAAAAGCAATTTCGTTTGGGCCTCAGACACTTTTAGTATATGGGCTTCGACAGGTCGGATTATCTGGAATGTATTAAAACATACACGTCGGATGTCACTTGGCCTCGACAGAAGGCTCTTTAATGGGTCGGATGTCCCATGTGGGACTCTAAGTGACAAGACATAATAACAATACTCCCCCAAGTCCATACATAATTATTTATCATACATGGACTTCAATCTGGAACCCAAATTTCTTTAAATTGCACTTCCTGATACAGTTAGGTTTT